GGTTCAATCTGTGAGTTAGCCATGTCCTAACTTAGATTAGTTTGATCTGTGCATTATCTGTGTCTTGACTTAATTAGATTAGCCGGGAGGTATTTTGGGGTTCTATAACATTGATTATTTTTTCATATAATTTAATTGCAGTATATCTTGTTGCCCAATGTCTTAGTAACAGCTAATCAACTGAAGAACATAATACCAAGAGACAAACCTTTTGTTCTGACTTTACATGTCACTCCAGGAACAAGTAAACTATGACACTTCTTGCAAACAGTTCTTTTGATGCTGGGATCCCTGTGGTATGATCAATATTTTAATAATCATTGTTGGGATACCTTTGTTTTAAAATTGTTCTCATTTTGAATCAACTTTAACGAGGTATTTCTTAGTCAAAATTCTTCATATCAAACATTTTAGATGATTGATACCAAGCAATAGACTACTCTCTGGTTGATAGCACATGATGGGCAGTGTTTGCCTGTCATAATTTGTAGGCTGGTAAAGCTTGTTTCACACTAGCATCTTTATCTGAATCGTAAAGCAACACTTACTGACTCAGTAGTATACTGCTCATTAATACAGTGCTTGTCTTTTTCACACCTAGGTGATAAATTTGATACTGAGTCTGCTTATGTTTCTGTTGAGACACTAGTGTGAACCAAGCTAATTGAGATTCATTCAACTAATTGATACCAAGCTATTATGTAATATTCTCTGCTTGATGATAGCACATGAGCAGTAGTGCTTGCCCTCTTTGTGTCTTCGTGTCAGCTGGTAATGAGATTCATTAGCTGACTGACAGGTAGCAATTTAATATATTACACAATTCATTCCTTATACTTACAGCCTAAGAACATTTTTCTGGGCGACTGACGTTAAAGAATTCATATAGAACCTCACCAGACCAGTGTTCCGTGGGTTAGTTGCTAAGGTAATGCTTGCAGCCTATTGAATCACAAATTTTGAAAATTCAGTTTTTGGATTTTGTCATGCACTACAAAAATGTGGTCCTAAATTACACATTTAAAAAAGAAATTACCTGATATAGGAAATTAATTCGGGTAAATGCATCCTTATTAGCTGCTAAAGTAGGTTTTTTCCTTCCCATTTGTTTGAAATGTTGGGAAAATCAATTATATTTAGAGTGGTAGTGTTTGACCTGGTTCTTCATGTTGAATATGAATTAAACGTCAGGCGTTCTTCGTTGACCGTGAGGAGCATGAAACTAGCCGTGCGAAGCTGCACGCTATGGTAACTACAAAATAGACCAACGGGGGTAGGGAAGAGAAGGCTTAGTAAAACTTAGTTTTTTCTCCTTTATACAAAATATAAACAAGCTATAAATAGATAAAAGGATAAAAACTGCCATTAAATTTTGTAATTTGTATAGACAAGGAGTATTCTATTGAAATAAGATTTTTTAAAAGGTATGAAATAAAATTTGTTTAGCCCCACCCCCCCCCATAGTATTTTGCTATCAAATATGGCGGCTGTGCATGTGATTGTTGGTCTTCCTCAAAATGGTCGCTAAAAATTGCATTTTCACACATTATTATGCTTTATCATTGCTCCTTATACCGTAAGTAACTAGCCAAGATATCAAACTTATTGTTTTAGTCATTTTTTTACTGATGAAGATGATATTTTTTGTAGAATTCCGTCATGTTGGACGCTTCAAGACCAACATTTTCGCCGGGTCTCGTTTGCTAAGAACAACACTTGCGCCTCTCCACTCATCTAGAGAATCATCGCTCTGTACTAATGGACGTATTCTACACTATAAACTCTACATCTCTAACCCAGCAAAGAATCCTGATGTCGCAAAAGTATTTCACAAGGTAATTTCTAGTTTTTTTATTTTTTTAATAACTTTGTTATGCAACTTCTCCCACAAGTCATTGGCTTACAGCGTCTTCAAAATAATTTTCAATTCTTTTAAATCTCTTTTTTGATTTTTAAAATAACTTTTGGAGAGTAAACATCATTGCATTGAACTTATATATCTGGAAGAAAAGTCATGAAATAATTTTTTTTTCTGTTGTAGTTTATGTCCACTGCTTCAAGCACTACACTAGAAAAGCCAGGACAGAAGCAACAACAACTCATCAAAAAAGCCATACCTGCTGTAGAAGAGGAGGAGGAGGTATGGCGGCAGCAGAAAGTAGATTTAAAATTGTTGCCTACCTACTACATGAGGCTGGCCAAGATACGCTTGACAGGTAATTATTGATTAATTATTAGTAAATGTTAGCTAATTATAGATTTCATGGGATTGTGGGAAGATTTGGTTTCATTCCTGGGCTCAGTCATATGAAGGGTGGATATCGCTTTCTGATGGATAAATCCTTATCCAGTGGATAAATTTATTGGAGAACAGCATCTTCTTATTCACTGGATAAGGATTCACCCATCAGATAGCACCATCTACCCTTCGTACGACCAGGCCCTAGACTCTACATCCCATTCAAATCCTTTTCTTTGAATAGAGGTTGTTTCTCTGGGTTTCATGGTTGTCCTCCTTCAGTTATATTCAGATAAGATCTGTGAGTTAGCCATGCCCTGACATTTGATAAGCCAAGAGGTTGTTTCAGGGTTTGGTCTGTGAGTTAGCCATGCCCTGACTTAGATCAGCCCAGAGGTTGTTTCAGGGTTCAATCTGTGAGTTAGCCATGCCCTGACTTAGATCAGCCAAGAGGTTGTTTCAGGGTTCTATGTGTGAGTTAACCATGGCCTGACATTGATCAGCCAAGAGGTTGTTTCAGGCATTCGTTCTGTGACTAACCTGTGACAGCCCTGACTTAGATCAGCCAAGAGGTTGTCTCAGGGTATCAATACGAATATAAATGTTTGGTTTGGCTATTTGTTTTACACCATCTGTCCCTTTATGTATTATTGATCACCGTTGTTGTCTCTCACAAGGCATGGTAGTACTGACAGCAATGGCAGGGTACGCCTTAGCCCCAGAGGCCATACACTTGGATACATTTATGTGGATGTCTCTAGGTACTCTTCTCTGTTCTTCCTCAGCTAATGCTATCAATCAGGTCAGTCCTTATATTTAATCAATATTAGAGATAAGGTTAAAGTAGTACTAATACTGGATACCCTGTGGTCAGGATGACACTCTCAAACTCAGAGCTCTGTCATCCCATTGGCTGTTCCAGGGTATCCATAAAATGTGATGTTCTATCTTTCTTACTGTTCATGCTCAACAAAATGTCACAGGCTTACATCAACATTTCTATTCGTTCTAGTAGTTAAGGTCAATGGCATAATGATGCCCCAAATTTGAGAGGGGGGAGGGAAGGGTGAGCAGATGGTGTACATATTTTTGACTAATTTTCCGACAATTCACAGAAGCTTTGTTATCATAACCCATAGAGATAACAACGTTGTTGCAAAGAGCTTTTCTGTTGTACTGTCAATCATTTTAAATTTCTTGTCAAAACTAATGCATAAAAAGGAAACCTGAATTTAAGAATTGAGGGTTCTTGCCTGTCTTACCCAACCTCTGTACATCACTGGTTGAGGTAAAATGGGGCAAACATGCCTAAGCTGAACAGGTCTATAAATGAATTAACAATCAGTCATGGGTTCCCTGTGGTGTCTTCTTGTTTGTCAAACATCTGATATTAAAAAGTTATTTCTTTTGATTTTACTCAAAGTGGATGGAAATTCCATTTGACTCTCAAATGGCAAGAACACAGAACCGAGTACTGGTCAGGGGACTTTTAAGGTAATGGAAAGCTGCAACAACAAGTTTCTACAGACTTGCTCATTGCCATTTTATTGTTTCTTAGACTTTTTTACTTGATCACAATAAGATCTTGAAATCTTCACAAAACACTTATTCTCTCAACCAAAAAATTGTCAAAAAAGGCAAACATTGCTCCAAAACCATGAGCTCCATAAAACTACTTCTAAATACAAACTTGTTTGACTGGTTTTACATAACTGGTTTTGCCCGTGAGGGGAGGGGTACCCTCGGGACACAGGAATCCCAAGCTTCAAAACATTTATTGTTCTTCCTTTTTAAATTTTTTTTTTTTTACTTCCATTTGATTCCAGTGCATCCCATGTTCTTGCATTTGGCATAGTAACAGGAGCAATTGGAGTAACTAGTTTGTTAACTCAAGTCAATGGTCTTACAGCTCTTTTAGGTATGTTACTTCACTTATTGATATCTATTAGGATATTATTTATTTAATTGACAGATTTGGAAAGTTCGCTGGGTGCCATTGTACTTTCCTTCCTGTTCAGAAATGCTTTGGAAATATGTGAAATAGCATCTCTAAAGGCTGGTTTAGACAGTACAATTTTCGCCTACAACTATTGCATACAACATGCTCGCGTCTGTCATAGGCGAGTTGTAGGCTTGATTTACACGCTACCACTCGAGTTGTAGGATGGCGCGAGCGTGTTGTATACAATAGTTGTAGGCGTAAATCGTACCATCTAAACCGGCCTTCAAATTTGGAACTTCAGGGTCAGATCCAGGAATTTTAGAAGGGTGTGACTATTACAAATATTATACCAGGAATTCTAGGAAAAGGGGGTGACTGTTACTAACGATATACTGAGAAATTTGATCAAAAGGAGGGTGACTAGTCACCTATTTTACCATCCCTGGATCGGCCCTGAAATTGTACCTTTGATGTATAAGAGTTTTATATATTATCATGTCATGGTTTTTATGAAGAATAATTTCTGAATTCCACTATCTTTTATTTTCAACACCTTTACATTATATTTATTTTCAATTTTTCCACAGGTGGAGCAAATCTTCTTTTATATACATGTATATACACACCCCTGAAGCGCTTAAGCATCGTTAATACATGGATGGGGTCATTAGTTGGTGGAATCCCTCCTCTCATGGGATGGGCGGCATGTACTGGGTCACTCGGTCCAGGAGCTCTGGTGTTGGCTGGAATACTCTATTCCTGGCAGTTTCCTCATTTTAATGCTCTTAGTTGGAACCTACGGCCAGATTATTCTCGAGGTGAGTAATGTCTAGATTTTACTGGGTTTCATTTGACATCATTTTCTGCCTCATGCAGAATCGCAGGTTTTTATAAGAATTCCTTCTGGCTTACAGGAGAAGATAATGAGATTCAAAGACTTTTATCAGCTGATTGAAACTCAGCAATAGGCATCAAAGCTCACAAAGCACTCCTGGAAATTGAGCGCTGCAAAAATGGAACAGGGAAATCGAAGGAACAATCTGAAAAAAAATTCTGGTTTTTTTCCCGTCTCTTGAAGTACTTACATTTCCATAGAAAATGTTGAAGGAAAAATTGTCAGATGAATTTATAGAGGAGCTGAAAAAGTGTAAAAACTCAGTATTCCATCATGCTTTGTGCTAGAGATTCCATATGTACATTGGCTATTTAAGATTTAGAGATGATATTTAACTTTGTCTATTTATTTTTTTGCCTTCAGCTGGTTATAGAATGATGTGTGTCACAGATCCTGCCTTATGCCGTCGAGTAGCCTTACGGCACTCAATTTACCTAATAGGCTTATCAACTCTACTTCCCCTGTGTGATGTCACGTCATGGTGGCTTGCATTGGACTCTCTTCCTCTTAACACCTACCTAACATGGCTTGCTTGGAGATTCTATCAACAATCTGATAGTAAATCATCGAGAGAACTGTTTCGCTTCAGTCTGTTACATCTACCGGTCTTGATGTTACTCATTATGTTTCACAAGAAACCCAAGAAAAACAACAGAGATGTCGTAGATACACTAGACGTTGCCATAGAAACATAGAGAAACTGGTTACCTTGGAAACATGAGTATGAATTTATGAGGAAATGATACCCTAAATATAGCCACAGAAAAACCTAGTTGCCATGGAAACAAACCCAAAAACAATTCAATAAATTTATGAGGTTGCTATGGGAACCTAGATAATAGAGTACCAGCTATGATACAAATCAAGGAAGCTCAGTTAAGCAAACTCCAAGCAACACAACTGAAAATAAGTTTTATAATTGCTGAAATTTTATTTTAAAATATTTATAGGCATTATTGATTGTGGATATATTTTTTATGAAGCCTTTTGTGAAGGAATTTATGATTGAATGGAATTCTCGTGTTGGTTTTATCAATTTGTTAAAGTACAGCATGGCTGCATAAAGTTGAAATGTATAGTAATATTACAGGCTGTGGGTTAATCATGATAATATATGTTTTATTAATCCCAGAAAGTTTTTTTATTATTTTGTGTTGATTGATATTTACATTGGTCGATAATTTTATTTTACAGCATTTTGGTTTATTTGATACAGTTGTATTACAGGGGCTTAAAGTAATGGCCAGAGAATGTCCAGCCAGAACTGGGACTTGTGTGGTCAAATCTTTACCTTGCTGGTCATTTTGAACAGTAACGTTTAGCCAGAAATGAGGTATGACTAAGCTAAAACTAATTTGGCCTGTTATCATGACTGGCAACTGATCTGTCCTTATTTTAAGCCCTGTATTATTATGCTGATAATTCACTCAGCCAGTACTTGAATTTGTGAATGGTCTGAAATGGGGAAACATTGCACACCCAAGGATAAGAGGTCGGAAGAGTGAATCTAGCTACAGGGAAGTACAAAGAAATAAAAAGAATGCTGAGAGGACTAATCCATGAAGAAGATATTATTAAAATGTGACATGCTTAACCTCTTGACTTCCTCTGAAAAAAATAATATAGAAAATTGACAATAAGCTGTTCTCATGTGACCACAGGAAAAATTTACCTGAAGATTGAGGTTTTATGGTGCTATATAAATACCAATTTATTAATTTATTATTATTAAAATATAGTAACCTGCAGATAGTAAAAGAGAGACTTCATCTTGTACTAGGATAGGATTTTCCATACCAGTTTAAGTAGACTGGACCTCTATTTTCCTTTCGTCCTTCCCTCCCCAGCCCCCTCCCCCAGGGACTTTTGACTCGTAACCAATCCTTCTTGGCCAGTCGACACAGACAGACAGACAGACAGACTCACCAAGGGAAAAAGAGGGACTGTTCGCAGTCTACAGTTTAAGTAAGCAGCAAAACAAAGAATAGGCAGGGAGCAGCGAGCAAATATTTCACACATTTTCTCTCAATTTTGGTAAAATTCAATCAAAATAGGTAATTGTATTTCTTGGAAATATTAATTAATAATATTTAAAAATACTGACCATTGATTTCGATGAGGTTGGCACTCTTCTGATTTAGTATTACAAAAAATTCTCTCTGGTCGGACTTCCTTCCTACCACCCAGCAGTCAGACATGGTCTTCACGTATGTTTCACCATCTTCTTGGAAGCTAGAAAAAACGATGATATATAGGAGTGATGTTTGATGATGATATTGTGTTGGCTATGTTTGATGATAATGATGCTGATGATAATAGTGGTGTTGACAATCATGGTGGTAATGATGATGGTGATGATGGTGATGGTGATATTGGAGTGAAGGTACCAGGTAATGATAGCGATGGTGATGATGGATGATCATGGTGATGATGATGATGAAGTTAATGCTTATGTAGATGATGTTGGTCGTGATGATGGATTATTATGTTGGTGATGATTATGATTATGGCAGTGATAACGATAGTTAGGTTGATTATGATAATGACAGTGGTGCTGCTGCTGATAATCAATGATTGAAATAGAGTAATCAGTCATGCCAGGCGAGTTACTAACTTTTTAAAGTCGGCACTGATATCCCCCATCAGCCTCATGATCTCTGGCGCAACACCTGTTAGGGAAGACTTCTTGGAGTGGATTGAAGACTTTTGAGCCAAGTTGATGTGGTTGAAATAAATGTATCGATATTGCTGCTCTGATCTAAAATCATACCAAAAGGATGAGAATTTATTTAGAATCAATATATAAAATCAATCAATCAATAAAGAAATTCAGGCACTGTGTCATCCCATCAGTTCCCTAGAGTATCATTTCTTCGTTTAATGGTTACAGATGATGTTTCAGATCGATACAACTCAAAGGAATCTTGAATCTTATTCTCTAGGACACATTCTCTTAAATAGGTAAACATTGCACCAAGATATATAAATTAGGTCTAGATTCATTGTCTGATGACATTATCTTAGCCCTGCAGCAATGTGATTTTTAACCCCCTGTAATATTGTCTTATCCCATACCCTAATTGCTTCTTGGCCGTCTGTTCACAGATGATATTAGCAAGATTTGTCAGTTGAGGACCGAGGAATCCATCAAGTTTTCTGTAAAACTCTACACTTGGATTTGGAGCTGCAAAACAAGATATTTCTTCACCTAACTTTGAGTCTCAATACAGTATAATCTTTTTTGCTTTGAAAAGCCACGGGCCATTTCTATTTACCACTGTTTTCATTGCTATGCACAGTTTTGACAGGGAAATCAGGCAATACACTGCCGTCAATCAGAATATGTAGAGGTACCAAACGATTCCCTGTTGTAACTGTTGTCTCCTTATCAATGTCTTAATATTTTAATGACATTTTGTAGGGTTTATTTAAACATCTCTTCATTGGTCATTTTTATTCATTCTCAGTTTTGAAACATTTCATAGGGTTAATGAGTTTACAATATTATATCGAATGATACATTCTGATCTTAAATTTCTTTTGCAACTAAATTCGTTGAGAGGTTTTTCCATTAACAAATTCAAAATATCATGACATTATTAAGATTTCCAACAAAAATCATTACAGTGAATAAATTTATAATAAATTGATCAAACTTACCATCAATCAGAAGACATATTGTTGCATCTAAAGCCTAGAAAAACAATCATTTATAAGCTTCTTGAACAACAAATCACAAAATTGGAGGCAGCATTGTGTCATCCGCAAATTTTACATGATGTTACATTACCTTGTAACAAACCAGGACCAGCTCTTCTTGTTCAATGTCTGTGTTCACAAAGATACGGGGTGGTTTCCTTGGTATTGGGATGTCATTCAGCTCTGACGGGCCTGTAATAAACCTGTTACCATGACAACAAATGAAGTATTAGTTGTAAAGCGCCATATAAATGTTTATTTATTATTATTATTAGTGGTAAATACCTAGAAACCACAATAACACAATCAACTGAAATGTCCTCTAACTTAGTTACTAATGACATACGACATTTGAAACTGGTTGAATAAATTAATGTATACTGCAGGCCCATAGCAAGGAGAGAGGCTGGATGGGGAAGGAGGGCTCATAAAATGACATTATGCAACATTTCCCCCCCCTCCCCCGGATATCCAGGCCTTGCTATGGGTCTATTTCTACTGACTTCAATGTGTACCTTCCATGATGGGATTTTGGTTGTACAACTACATATCCTTGAGATGTCTTAAATAAATAAAATAAAAAATAAATCACTTTTATTTAAGTGTCTAGTCATTCTAGCGCTTTCGCACTAATTGGGGACACTTTTCACTCACTCACACTACCACCACATTAAATGTTCTATGCACACAACACTCAACTCACATGATGATTTTTACGGAGGGAGGAAACCGGAGAAATTGGAGAAAACCCTTGTAGCATAGGACAGAACAACACATCAAACAAACTCAATTCACATGTGGCGACCACAGGGCTCGAACCAACGACCCGACCCGTTGGACTCACAGCAGTGAAAGACGGCTCGTTAGCCACGAACGCCACCCATGCTATCTAATAACTTGTTGGTAAGAGGCAAAATACATGCAATTAAATTTCAATCACAAAAGTTACCTCCACTCTTGGAGGAGGATTGGATTTTCCAAGGGATGGGGAGGGTCTGAGAAGGTAACATAATACTGTTTCATTTAACATCGATCTGTGGGGGGAAATATGGCTGTATTTTATAGAACTCAATGTGACTGAATAAATCAAAACCTTACGCCAGATTCCAAAGTCGATGGAAATAAACTTGTAACAAGATATTTAAACATAACTCTCATGTCTTCTTGTTCTAAACCACTCCTAAAAAAAAATATCCATTTTAGGTTAACTGGATAACTAAGTTACTTTTTACCATTATGGGTTACCTGTGTTTATGGTGAACATTTCTTTGGTCACTGTAAGTAAATTAAAATTCTAACCTCCTCTACAGGTGTAATATCTTCTGTATTTCTCTTATAGTGGACTATCTGTGTTCATATGTGGCTGAGAAGGACTAAAAGACTCTTTATCGACTGTTATCCTCCACAGGAACCCCAAGGAAGGAAACACTGAGAGCCAGCCCAGAGGAGTTAAGTAAAGCATTTTATTTCTTAGGTGCACTCCTCAAAGTTGAGCAACATTAAAACCAGTGCATTCAAGGTACTTACCAGACAAGTTTATCAGAGTAAAGGAAAGCTGTGTACTTGACTGGACTGCCAAGTAATGGGAGAAAGGGGATAAGATAAGATAATTTTTTGCCTTCCATTCAGATTCAGATTATATGAGAAATAAGATAAAGCAAATTATATCTAGCATCATAATAGAGTGAAGGCATTAAACCTGTGAAATAGATATTAGACTAATATACTTTAGTAGACCCTAATTCCATTGTTTTCTTTTGTGTCTATTTGACTATTACACGTTGACTAATAGTTTTTATTTTGTGGGTTAAATGCCTTCACTCTAATAACCAACTTTTATTTAGCATCAATTCTGTTCAGTTCAATAATGCTTTACAAAAATATCAACATCACTTACTATCAACATTTAAGAATAATATTCAACTTACTTAAATGTATGTTCCACTAAATTGATGAAACATTGGACTTTTAAGAAAGTGTTCTTGTCAAGAGGTAGAAACTGAATGCCTTAAGAATGAAGATTAAATTAGAATCAGAAAAAGATTTCAGTCAGATTTTAAATATTGTCCTTAAGAAGTAAAATATTTGTAGGTTCACATGGAGATAGAGTTGCTATGGTAGCATGAAAGTTAACAATGTTGATATATTGGACAGATGTTATTAGATAATATTAGAAGATATTACCTGAGAATACATCTAGTAAATCAAAATTAGAAAAGTTCAATGTCTTTAGGTACTGAAAACAAAAAGTAAAAAGTGTTTTAATTCTTGGCATACCATGATAATGATGTCTGGTGATTGATGACAATGATGATGATGTCGAAGCTGATGACAATCCATGTTGGTGATTATGATGTTTGATGACAATGATGATGATGATGCTGATGACAATCCATGATGGTGATGATGATGATTGATGACAATGATGATGATGAAGGTGACATTCCATGATGGTGATGATGATGATTGATGACAATGATGATGATGATGATGCTGATGATGATGATGACAATCCATGATGGTAATGATGATGATAATAATGCATGATGATGGGGAATAACAATAATAATGGTGATGTTGACAATGGTGATGACAAATGAAATTGATGATGATAATAAATAATGCAGTCTTAAAATACTCACATGTGTATAAAAATAGTCTGCCCTTTTACGTAACACTTCTCTGCTATACGTCTCCACAAGGTAGGTGAATGTCCCATTAAACAACTGCAACAAGACAGTCAAAATATCAGAAAAATAATCACCATTTGAATGTCAAATTGTTTTCCCTTGAATAAAGGAAAAGCTTACTCTGAACATCTTGTAAGCTTGCTTGAGTACTGCATCTAAAATACTGTCCTACAAAGAGAAAAAAAATACACAGAATCAAAATATGGCATACGATTTGAATAACTATTATTCTGCACTGACTAGCAACTAACTAGCATGTTCACGTGTTCACATGGAAACATAAAATCATATTCAAAAGTATGAGAGGCTAGTCAGTCGCTTGGTCTCCATGTATTTTGATTTTGTGTATACTACAAAATGTAATTCAAAAGACAGACAGACAGACAGGCAGACAGACATCACTGGTTCTTACCACTACATCTTCATCATGATATTCAACTACTTTTATACCATCTTTTGCAATTTTTTCACTAAAAGGGATACTGACAGTCTAGGATTAAAAATAAATATATGTTAGCAATGCCCTGACCTAGAACAGCCCTGAGGTTGTTTTAGGGTTCAATCTGTGAGTTAGCTGTGCCCTAGACTTAGAACAGCCCATAGGTTGTTCTAGGGTTGAATCTGTGAGTTAGCCATGCCCTGACAGAGGTTCTTTTAGGGTACCAATAAAATTTTAAGATCACATATTTGAGCTCAACATCTCACCATAACCATCCAATATCCTGGTTCTGGGTTGTAGAAGGTTTGTCTTGTTTTCTGTGTGTGCACAGCCTCACAAGGCTTCTCTGGAGCAAATGTCCTGTTAAACATCAATGATACACACCTCTTATAATAAACATATCTATACCTCCCCCATGGAGGAGGAATGGAATTTCCGAGGGGGGGAGAGGTCTGAGGAGGGTATATTGGGGAGTTCCAGAAAATATCCACACCTCCCCCATTGAGGAGCAATGGAATTTCCAAGGGGTGGGGAAGGTCTGAGGAGGGTATATTGCGTAGTTCCAGAAAATATCCACACCTCCCCCATGGAATGGGACTGAAATTTTACAAGTGGTGGGGAGGGTCTGAGTAGGGCATATTGTATAGTTCAGGTAATTATCCATGCACCTCCATGGAGCTAAAGGGATTTCCAATGTTGACTTCCAAGGAATATATGGAAAAAGTATGTTCTGGTTCTATCTTTATTGGACTTTCTGAGAAAATACTTACTCAGTGAATTGAATCAGAGCTTCGGACAATCCAATATTTTTTATTTTCTTATCGAAATCTTCTTCAGTTGGAATGTAAATAATAACCTTTTCGTGTTCCTACAAAACAAGATAAAAAGTCACAATATTTCTTAAAGATAAAAATAAGTAATCAAATCTTTAAAAATCGTGTACGCCTCCAAAAATATATGTGGACAACACGAAGTTTTTCCTGGGTAATGAAATGGAGTGAATTTTAAGCAAAAATTCTTGATTCTGCGATGATGTTTGGATTTATAAGAAAATATTGTGTATGAATAGTATACTAAGTGTCTTACCATTCCTTCTTTTGGTCCAAAATCCGAGTTAAACACAAAAAAATTCACTAAATCCGGCGAAGTCTTCATGGTCGCCATCTTGGATTATATCTTGTTATGATTCTATCACAGGGAGCCCAAAAGCTTGTTTCTAAAGTACAAACAACAAACACGTCAAATCGAAATCTACTAAACTAAAGAGATGTTCTTGAAGTTTCTCTACAAATATAAATTATTTTGATTCGATTGGTACTCGCTTTAGTTCAGAAATGGTCGAAAATTAAAAACTGCTGAGCAAATCTGCCCAAAAACCAAGCTTGGGCTACCTGTGTTTGCAGAGTGGGCGAAAATCCAAGATGGCGATAAACAACACACGTTTGTAGTTTCCTAAAAATACCCTCAAAAATGCAAAAAGGAATAACCTTTAGACCTATTTAAAGTAACTGAAATATAAATTGGTTTACAAGATATCATTAAGTAGCCACTATGGATGATATTTCGGTGAAGAAGAAACAGATAGAGGAGAAGTTGAACCAGGTATTATTTGAATGAAGAGTTTTGACATTTGGAGAGGTAAACTTCCATGTCGGATGCAGGAAAGGAAGTAGATGATGTTTTATTCTTTTGTTTTTGGTGCTTAGGAGAAGATGACACTGTCATTTCTAAAAGAAAGTCTAACAAAGAGCGACCATATCACTAAAAACATGGTAAGACAAAGTTTGTACGAGTTTCATTGAAAGAAAATATTGGGAGCCCAATAAATGGGGGGAGGCCAGAAAAGGAACTGCTTCTAAGTATCATGCAGCAAATTAATGATTATCTGTTTTTGCAGCTCAATATCCTGGCATCATTTGAGAGTCGTATTCACAAACTGGAAGATACCATTGTACCTGTACACAAAGAAACAGTAGATTTGCAAAGAAGGCAAAGCAGTATCCTTTGTTTTATGGCCTTTGTACCGCCACCCTACACTACCCTCTCGATTCCTAGACTCGCCACCACATGTGGGAAAAGTTTGTTGGGTCTTTCCTCTGATTTAAGGGTTTTTATCTGGGTTCTTTGGATTTCCTCCCTCCACAAAAATAAGTCACAGACTATATGGCTAGTCTGTCACAGTGGTAGCGTCTCAGCAATGTATTCTCAGACTGTTAACTAAATTAAGTTAAACTAATCAAAATATGTTGTGGTTTGTTCTTTCGTTTGGTGTTATTTAACTGAGATAACCGTCCCAAAATACATTGCTATGACACACTAGCAATAATCATATATGTCCTATGAGATTATTCCTTGACATGATATTGAGATATTGACAGGTCTTTGTCGGCATTAGACCATGTTATCAGCTACCATCACGTATATTCTAACACAGAACATGTCATCAGAGACGCGTAAGTATGGAAATCACTCCAATCTCTGAAAAACTCTTGCTTTGCCTCCCTCTAGATTCAAGTTTTTTTGGGTTTCTCTGGTTTAATTATCTCCTTCAACAAAACTTGATTTGCTAAATTAGGATTCCATGTGTGAGTTGGCCTGTCTAGTCCATGACTTAGCTCAGAAAATACCACCATTTACCTGCCCTTCCTAACTTTGTACCTACTTTTGGCAATCAAAATAATGCTTCATATTCTTATGTGTCAACCATAATCCTTTCAGACCAACTGGTAACCTAGAGGCATATATCAAGAACCTTGAAAGAGTTATCGATGCCATTGAATTTTTCACTCAGAACAATCCAAACTGCCTTGAAATGACTCATTTGGTAAGCTGTCATTCCTTTTTACCCATTTTCAGAGTCCTTCCTTTCTTACAACTATGGTTAATTCTGGTTACAGTGGTCCCAATGATGAGTCCTGTGGAATACCAGAATATTTTACTTTTCATTTTTGTTTGATTTTGAGATGGGAAAGTTAGTGTTTTAATATATTTCATATACTGTCATGTTATTTTCTAGACGTCACTAAGAGAGTGTGGTCGTGAGTCACTGGAAAAGGAATTCAGGATGTTACTAAACAGGCACAGTAAACCGGTACCTGGTAATGTCATCCTGGATTGTATTGGAAATGAAGAAGGTGAGAAATATTTATACATATAACAAATCCTGTACTCTGATTGGCTGACCTACTATTGGTCTGTTATCGATAGACCACTAGTAGCGAAAAAGTATCAGATTTGAAGACTAAAACAATGCAAAATTAAATTATTTCAACCTAATTTCAACATTGTTCGTTTTAATTTATTTGACCTATTAGTAGGTTTATACTAAAATAATTAGAGCTTTAGCCTCATGGGCTATTGAATCGTAGACCACTTTGGTTGTGGGTCTAATTTTTAGTAAAGTATTGTGCAATTTGTGTACATGTAGGAATGAGAATCTTTTTATTCAGCTGTGTCTTCTTGTATACTCCAGGTCAGCTGGGAGAAGAGCTTAATGTTGAGCATTTACCAGGTAATGATAATTATGATGATTGTGATTGTGGTAATTCTTATTCCTATTTATTTATTTTGTATATTATATCATTCATGGTTGCTATATAATACTTAATAAATCATCTATCTATCTATATAATTATTCATAATTTTAATAATTTTAGTGATGATGGTGATGATGGTGTTAATGATGATAATATGATGATGATGATGATGGGGGGTGGTGATGGAGATGATGATGATTATGATAATTTATATAGTGCTCATAATACATTGCTGTTCTAAAAGCGATGAAGGAGGTTGACAATGATGACATGAAAGATGATGGTGCTAATAATGATGTTGATTACAATGATGATGATGCTTGCAAAAATAAGGATGATTACGAATTATGAATAACTTAGATAACTTCCAGTTAGGTTTCATTATATCATATCATATGATACTGATTTATATTTCAGAAAAGGTCATTGAAGATCTCAGCACCATCTCCAACTGGCTTACAGGACCAGGAAAAACTCACTCCTTGGATTTCATGAGCGCATATGCACAGATTAGATCAAGTACATTGGTTCGATCCATGCAGGGGTGAGTAAGGCCATTCATAATTCTAACTCACAAGCTTGCATAGTCGGCATAGTAGTTAAAATGCTAACCCTTATCAATACCTGGATTTGATTTCTGAACTTGATATCATTTGTGAGTAGAGTTGTTACAAGATGGCTCTATCCTGTGCTTCATGGATTTTGATAAATGATGTCCATATAATCATCCCTGAGGTTGTTTAGGGGCTGGGTATTGATTAAAAAATTTACATCCAGGGTTCAACCGCAGCTGTGAGAGCTGACAGAGACGCATCTCAGTAATTTTTTTTTCTTTTTTTTTAAGAATTAAGGAGATAAGAATAATGGATAGCACACATGTAAGTATTTTCGAGTCAGTTCTGGTTTAATTATCGTTTTTAACACTCTAGAAAGTTTTTCAAAAAATCTTCTTTATTTTCTTTGCAGTCAAGTGGAAAATTCAAAGCAAGCTCAGGTTTGTTCTCCAATTGTTTTTCATGCAATGTTTGACTTGAAAAGCATTTGGATAAAATAATGATATTAATTATTTAAATATCATTTAATGTTGGCAGGTGTCAGTACACCAACTAGAAAGGGAATCAGTAAGAAAAAAGAGTAAGATATTCATTAATACCGTAAAATAGTTAACAGATCAAAAACAGTTTTCCGTGTTTGATACTCTGATCAAAACACATGGGATGTTGAGAGAACATGAGAGGAGCATAGGAAACCACGGCACGTAGCGGAGTGGTTTCCAGTTTCTCGAGTGTTCTCCCAACATCCCAAGTGTTTTGATCAGATTTTGGATTTGTTTTATAAAATAACAAACTCACGAAAAGATAGAAAAAAAGCAAATTTAAGTAAATTCTCCCTACCTGCCATCTTATTCAAACTGACCAATGAGTGCGTGCGATAGATTAAAATCTGACAGTTGCAATACTCACGGGCGCTACAATGGCGATAGTGTGTTTTGATACTCTCATCAAACATGGTTTTCGACCAATCATAGCGCACCTAGTATCCCAATTATTTTACAATGCAGTTTCAAATCATTGAGAGCATGTTTTAACTATTTATCTATGAGTCACTAAATACTGTATCACTGAGTTTTTTGGTTTTTTTTATTATCATTTTTATTATTATTTTTATTTTTTCTTATAGCTTAAGAAGAGTTCCATCAAAACCAATGGAATTCAGTAAGTATAGTGAATCAAAAAAATGTAACAACAATACTTTTTTGCCTTCTATCTGTTTTGTCTGTGCATCTTATCAGCAGTTGATAGCAGTTAGGTTATAGTTAATATCCATCCATTCATTAATCAAATATCCAAAATATTAATATATTCCTTTATTAATTGATATTAATTGATGATAATTACTATTAATTCAATCAATCATATATATATATATTGCTTATATATTTTGGGTCGTCGTTGTAGAACAATAGAAAACAATGACCTTTCCCCAACCCCGCCCCTAAACCTAAGCAATCACAGGGGACGTTGCAAATTTGTGAAGCCTAACCATATATTTTTCCTTTCATTAATAATTCATGACTTATTTAATTTATTCATTCATTTCCATTTTCCAGGCCGTAAAGGTTCCTCCCTACAAACATCATTGGCATTTGACTCCAAGGACGGAAAAGAAGAACACAAAGATGAAAAAAGGTAATTATTAAAAGTACTAAAAACTTGTTTATACACTCGATGTAGCATACACTTAACATATAAATATTTTCTTTGTCAAACTTCTCCCCAAATTTAGTTTCATCTGGTAGTAGTAATAATCTGTTTATTTTTTTATAGTGACATTGACGCATCTGGTTATGTGTTGTCTTGCAAAGCTCTGCTCAAACTCATAGAGGTATTGATTACAGAAAGGTTATGTTTTATCCTTTACATACCCTCCTACCCCACCTTCTTGATTTTCATATCCCAACCTCGCCCCTTTTCCATCCTCTTTGATCAGAGAGCTACCCCAAGGATAACAAAGTCCTAAACAAAATAATAACCAATTTTGCATGAGTAATGATGAGTTTTCTGGTAAAACCCAAGAACAGTGCTCCTGAATATAATTATACTCTATTGAGCGACTGTCAGCTGTGGATGATTGACAGCCCACTGTTACTTCATTGACCATCAATCACCCAGCGACGGTACCCCCAGCAACATACAGCCCTCCAACAGTGAGCATGTTGTTAATTTACCAGCATCTCACCTGGGTTTACCATTAGGTGCCCAAAGATTTACCATTGTGACATTGACAAATGGGCTACAGTTGGTTGACCGAGGCATCTGGGGAACTGATCTTGTGTTTTACTGAATTTTCTTTCATTCCTGACTTATAGAGTGAGCGTGAACTTATGAAGCCAGTAATCCCAGAAGAACACCAGAATGCCATCTTTGACAAACTGATTGAAGCTGCAACTGATGCATTCATGGCAGAAGGAGAGGTTAGTTGGTTATTGACTTCAGAATTATTAATAATCATAAATATCCTCTAATATAAGTAAAGTCCTTGATAAAAAATATAACTGAAGTCTGCAAAAAATTGCTTTGACAATTATTTGACAATTTGCACTTAACCAACTACTCTGTCTGAATTTCACATCATGTCACAATTTTGGAATGTTTTTGTGTTGCTTGTCGAAATTTACCTTAAACAGGGCCTTGCTGTAATTCATTAGAGCAGTCTGCCGTCCATGGCTCTCATGTTGCCATTTCAAGACCATGTATCTCGTCAGAATATACCCCTAACAGGGCCTCAATGATCTACTTTATTACACATTTAGGGTCGATATCCATGAAAGCAGTGAATAAAAATTATATCAGTGAAATGATTCACAAGTTTTCCGTATCAAATCGCTCACTCATTCAAGGACTCGCTTGTTTGCAATATGATACAAAAAACTCAAATGAAAACGATATCAAGCTCTTAACATGTGATAATTTCTATTTACCAACTACTCACTGACATCTTACAACAGTCTTTGTTTTAAAGAAATTTAATAGCCAGTGGCTAACAAAGCTGTGGTCCTCGTTTCATGATCAAATTGTAATTTAGAGAAGCTGAAGAAAAACCCTCAAAGCACAGGAGAGAACCAACAAACAACTCTACTCACAAACAACACTGAATCCATTAACCAAACCTGGGTTGCAATGGTGGAGATTCTCAAGCACTCTTGCCGCTATGCCCACCCATAGCTCTCCTCCTTACTGACTCCTTACCATAAGTTGCAGATTGATAACAATAGCCATTTATAATTTCTAATGTTATATTATAATTTCTCTGTCATCAGACTATCATCAGTACTCTGAAACGGTTCATCACCAAACACAACTACTCAGCCATCATGCAGACCTTTCCGATACTCAAACAATTCCGTCAGATACAGCCTCATTTTGATGACATTGTACAGGTAAGTAAGCCGGCCTTAGATTCAAAATCCCCCATGACATGCATTGGGAGTCAAGTTATAATGATTACAATGATCTTTCCTTGACAGGACACCACAGCAAAGACGAGAATGCGCTTCCCAAATCTTATCCGCATCCTGGAGCTGACAGTAAGTTCATTGACCTCACAAAACTTTTTTTTGAAACTATATATTGATTGATTGAATGATTGATTGATTGATTGATTGATTGAATGATTGATTGATTGATTGATTGATTGATTACTGCCATTGGCAGATACAAAATTTTAGAACATTTTGTCAAATCAACCCTAACTAATTCAAACTGGTTAGAACTGTGCTCTGGGGTCATACATGGACTGTATAGTGGTTCCCCAAGGCACCTTCACATGCTTTTAATTCAACCACATTGAGCAGCGCAACTGCTGTACTTTGTGGTGATGATTTGCGATGACAATTTGTTTGGGGGAGGCAGGTGGGGGCATCAAAACAATAGTTTCGCTGACAAAACCAGCTTTTTGATTGGATAGATATGGAAATGATGTTGATTGCCTGAGAAAATAAAGCTAAACATTAAAGAGAGGGATATTTACTTGCCAATATACCCCACCCCACCCCCCTTGTATTCACCTATGACTTGCATTTATGGTATTAATCAATGACAAGATGATAATATTGATTTTAAAACAATAACTGACGATTTTTTTCTTCATTTTTGTAAACAGTCATCTCGTGCCTTGGAAGAGTTTGCTGATGGAATAAAGGTTAGCAAACAATAAGTAAACATCTTCACAACATCATGATGAAGGAACCCAGTTCCAAAGGTTATAGCATCAAGGAGATTCTGTAGGGGGTGGGGCAGGGCGCTCTTGACAAGATAGTCAAAGGCACAACAATTTTGGCGGGGGCCTTGCACAGGTACTCGCATCCCATTTGCACCCCACCCTTTTTGTTTTGCTACTTTGATTATTTTCTTAATTCCACGTCATTCTATTATTTTGGTATTTTTCAATTGCTATGTGTTTTTTTTGTCATTGTGTAAATGAGTAGTATTCCCAATAAAGTTGTTTAAAAAAACTTATGCTACAACCAAGGGTGTGCTCATAACCCCCCCAAGGGACTTTGGGTGGGACCATTTCAGCCCTAGTCTATGTCTATTCCTGGTTTGTTAATCATTTATAAACCAGTGGCATTTCTTTCATTCTTTTTATTGTCATTCATTCATTTCAGCATGGTCCTGATAAACACTCAAACATGCCGAAAGATGGAACAGTACATGAGTTAACCAGAAATGTAAGAAAATAGTACCTACAGTATCAGCTGCTAAGGAGGGGGCTACACCGCAATAGACCCCTCGCAGCACATCAGAATGACTTTCCAATTCTCAGGAGATTGAAATTCTCTTGTTTTGTCCAAGAAATGAATCACTCTCTTTGGTGGCAACATAATAACAACTTCCTTAAAATTTCTGATGCACCCCACTCTTCAAGGCTTAGGCTTACGATATACATTGATAGTGAGCATATAGCAACTTTTACCCTAGTATTTATTAGGCGTGGTAATTTATTTCTGATGGATATTGTTGTTTACAGACGTTGATCTTTATGGACCAGCTTTTGCCATATTCAGAGACAGTTGGTCATGTGTTAGCGACTCAGCAAGAGGACCAAATGCGTGGTTTCATTAACAGGGATAAGGGACAACTAACGAGAATAACAGCTGAATATGTCCGTAAGTTTTCATTTAAACTCTTAGAATCAAAAGTGACTGTGTAACGGCAGTTCACTTTGGCGGCCTCTCACCTTGGGGGTCTCAAGTTTGATTCCTGGACTCTGTACCACATACATTAGTGAACCAAGGAAGGTGTAGTGGTAGTGCACTTTTTTCTCAACTCTCAGGTTTTGGGGTCTCAGGTTTGATTTCCAGACTTGGCATCACATATGAAAAGAGCTTGTCAGGTCTCTCTGGGATCAATCAATTCAAGGGTTTCCTCTCTCAGGTTTTCCTCCTGCAAAACCTAACAAGCTAAATTCCAATTCAATGTATGACTTCATGTGCTGATCTGTTGATCTGTGAGTTACCTGTCCTCTGACTTAGATCAGCCCAGAGGCTGTTTCAGGGCTTGATCTGTGAGTTAGCTGTGCCCTGACTTACAGAGATCAGCCCAGAGGTTGTTTCAGGGTTGGATCTGTGAGTTAGCCGTGCCCTGACTTTGATCAGCCCAGAGGTTGTTTCAGTGTTTGCTGCTAGTAAAATTTGAAGGTTTATAGATTTTGAATGAAATGCTATAATAGATAACAGCCATTCCCTCAAAAATTACAGAACGTGTTCTTGGTTCTCTTGGACTCAACCTTCAGCTCAAGGCCAAGGTTTATGAATCAGTAACTCTGTCATCTCTCTTTCTCCTCAACAATTATCATTACATTCTCAAAGCGCTACAAAGGTAAAAATATAAATTTATTTGACACTTTTTATTAAAACAATTGTGAAGAAAATTTCATTTTATTGCATTTTTATCCCTCTAATTATTCTTGCATTTCCCCTTGTAATCATCCTGGTTCTGCCACTGTATGAGTTAAAGTGGTTTTCGTACAAGTGGGAAACATGTCGTAATGACATTACAGCACGTATGTGGTACAACATGCCGTAACATTGAAATGCCTCCTTATGCGGTTTTCGTATGAGTAGGAAACGTGAGGTACTGACTTACAGCAGGTACACGGTATAACATTCCGTAACACTGAAATGGCTTCCATACAGTGGATTCCATATTAGTAGTAACAATGTGGTACTGACATTACAGCACGTACATGGTACGACATGCCGTAACATTGAAATGGCTTCCTATCGTGACAGAGTAGTTCATCCAATCAGAATAATTCATAGTTACAGTAACGATAAGATACAGGGGATAAGTCACCAGGTTTTTTTTGTCTTTTGATATATTGGATATTTATGGCCCACCCCCTCCCCCTTTTTACTTTCTGACCAGTCCCTAAATACTTCATAGGTCAGGTCTTCTTGAACTCCTCAAAGAGGGAGAAATAACAGACATAGATGACCAGTATCAAATGTTGGTTGAAGAACAAAAAAACATGTACGACAAATGGTGAGTGATATTATTCATATTTGAAAATTTATATTCAAAAAAAATTTTTCTTTTTCAAATTTTTTCACTCTTAAAAGAGTAAAAGCTTATCCCAGGACAAAAACAATAATGTCTTTGGTAGTACAGCATTATTAACTAGCAGATACATGTGTGTTTAGTGGAGCTAACATCTTAGTACACCACTTAATTGAAAACTTACATTTGATTTCCTTTTTAGTTGGAGCAAGGTACTCCATTACCTCTTAGAGATGGATAAACCAGGGCCAGCTCCAAAGGGTGCTGATGCAAAAGTAAAATACATGTATTGAATACACTTTCCTATCCTTACATCCTTCTTCTCTTCCTTCTCCTCCTCTCTTGGAATAAATCAACCAAAAAGCTGTAACAATGTCATGTGTGTCATCAATTTCACAAGTGCACAATATTAATATGAATACTAAGTAGCAGTCTTGTGGTTACTGATAAGCTTCTTTACAGAACATTTTACTGTCAGTGCTCTCTTCAAATATGTTTTAATTCTATTTTGTTTCATCTTTGTAGCTGAAAGACAAACAGCGGCAAATGATAAAAGATAAATTCAAGGTAAAATAACTTGAATAACTTTTGCTTCACATACTCGAACCAATCAAATTTTGAATGATTTCTGCACCAAAGTTTTTAGATTTTTTCACCTTTACATTTTCCATTATTTTATTTTCTTGGAACATGATGTGTTTACTATTCATAATTCATCTAGGGATTTAATACAGAGTTTGATGAGATTTACCAGATCCAAAAGACATATACAGTACCAGATGATCAGCTGCGTGAAGAAATCAGAAAAAAGAATTTTGACCTTATTGTTCCACTTTACAGATCCTTCCGAGAAAAGTTAGTTTAATATCCTATTGTTTTTCTAAAAATGTTTTTGTGGACATACAGTTTCTTTCTTCTTTTCTCTCTCTCTCTTTCTAGTCTTTCTTTCTTTCTCTTTCTTTCTTTCCCTTTCTTTCTTCCTTTCTTTCTTTCTTTCTCTCTCTTTGTAGTCTTTCTTTCTTTCTCTTTCTTTCTTTCCCTTTCTTTCTTCCTTTCTTTCTTTCTCTCTCTCTCTCTCTCTCTTTCTTTCCCTTTCTTTCTTCCTTTCTTTCTTCCTCTTTCTTTCTTTCTTTCTTTCTCTGTCTATCTTTCTCTCTCTCTCTATCTCTTTCTCTCTCTCTTTCTTTCTGATGAATAATGATGATTAAGGTGGTTGGCAATGAAGTTGATGGCTATAACAGCAATGGTGATGACAATGTTACCTCTGATGAATGATGTTGGTTAACGATAATGATAGTTGTGATAATGATGGTAGTGATGATGATGATTATAAGATGGAACAGCAATAGAATCTGGAATAATACATTTTTCTTCTTCTTTCTAGATATGAGGGTGTGCAATTCACCAAAAACCCAGAAAAATATGTGAAATACTCTCCTGATGAAGTGGGGAAGTTGATAAAGAAATTTTTTGATGTTTCTGCTTGAACTTTAAAAATGATAGATTTGTTTTGGAAGCTTAACTTAAAATGGTAATAACATAAATATGTCATTTGAAGAGAATAATTGTTTTATTTTTTCCTAAAATTATGAGATAATGGGTGCAAACTGTGGCAAGCACACAATTTGTAGGTCCAAAAAATATCCATACCTTGCCTAATGGAGGGGGATTGGATTTTCCAAGGGGTGGGGAGGGTCTAGGAAATGTATATTTGCTAGGGATTGGAACAACCAATGGGCAGGTTCTGAGGCTATTTAGTGTAGTTCCAGAAAATACCTCTACCTCCACCCTATGGAGGGGGGTTGGAACACCCAATAGGTAGGGGCTGAGGGTATTTTGTGTAGTTTCAGAAAATATCCCTACTACACCTTATAGAAACGGATTGGAATTTCCAAGAGTTGGTGAATGTTTGAGGAAATGTATTTTGAATAAGTTCCAGAAAATATCCATACCTAATCCCTTAGAGGGGAAGTGGAATTTCCAAAGGGTGGGGAGTTGACGTTGTGTAGTATTGGAAAATGTCTGCCTTATAATGGATAACATCATTATAATTAATAATTTCTTTGCAAAAACCACTGCTTTATTTTAAGAATCTTAGTAACATCAACTCAATGGGTTTCCTGTGTTTTATGCTAATTATTCCTGGTAGCTCTGACCAACACATCTGTTCACAGATGTGCTTATCGAAAAATGATAAAATAAATAACTTTATCATTTTTTTAATCAGCACATCTGTGAGATAATAGCGAAAAAGATTTATCATGTATACTTTTCTTTGACTCTATAATTCTCAGATGTATTACACTCTGAAACATTCAATAGCTCTTAGAAGTTGAGGAAGTCGATGTCTGTCAAACTTTTGGCTGTGTGTCAAAACTTACTTGTTAGTCTTGTAAATCAATAAAAAATTCTATTATCTTAATGAAAGAAAGCATTTAATACCATTGATAATCTGGTACAATAATTTCAACAGTTTGAGATACCAACATGTACAGCCTTGGTTATTATTATTGTATTAATGTCAAGGAAAAAATGTTAACTGTTGGACTTGTTTCATATCTTATAGGAATATTTTCTCTTCCTCATCAAACATCAAATTAAAATTACTATCTCCCTTCTTTTGTTCACTTGATAATAACCTGAAAGCAAAAAAAAAAAATTAATATACTAAACTTAAAAGTGTTTGTGACTTTACACTGTTTATTGTCTGTATTTCTAGACATAGGCAAGACTATGTCACATTAAATACCTTGAACTTTGAACTGTACATAGTTCCGCATTCTCTAGCGACAGCTTTGATGGATGAGACAGCTCAAATACCACTGTTTCAGTCTACCAAAATAAATATAAGATTAAAAAGTTGAAAACTAGATACTACATGCAGCTAAAATGATAAGATATTTGTTGGTTATTACCTTTATAATGTTGGATTCCTTATCTGTAGAATGTTTATGGTCTTCAACGTTTAATTTGTGGTCAATCACATCTTTGACGGTATCTTCTGAAAAATTATTATTAATATTTTTATTATTACTATTGTTATTACTATTGTTTTTATTATCATTATTATTGTAATTGTTATTCTAATTAATATTGTTGTCATTTTTTCGTTATATTTTCTAATATTCTTTCTTAGTTCCATTCTATCATTCTTGTCATCATTGTTGGTGCTAACTTTTATTGTTATTGAAGTGCACTTAGTCACACTGTTGAATGGTTGGATAAATTTACAGAACTTGAATAATATAGTTCACCTGTTGTCATCACCTAAAATAGCAAATACGTGCCAAAGTAACAGTCATGTGAATCTGGGGGTTTACTTTACCAGAGAATAAGTGAAGAGACAGATGATTGTATCATCGTATTCCCCCCCACCCCCCAAAAATCTTAGTAATTTATGTGATTTCAGCTATTCAACAGTTTAACTAAATTCACTCTACTATGCAGCATGATAATATGATAATACATTTTCCAGTCCCATGGTTTCGAGGGACAATTGCAATATGTTTAGTTCATTGACAGAAACGTGGGGGAGGGGGGGGGTAAGCCTCTAAAGCCCCCTGCCTCTATGGTCCTTGTATCCATATGTAGTGCCCTTCTTGAAAAGCAGAATACCTGAGAAATTTTCTGGAGTTTTTCTTGGTGAATCTGTATCTGAATCTATGGACACCTCGTCATACCAGGGACCTGAATCTACCTCAGTGGATACTGGTGATTCCAAGGACTTGCTACTCCCACAGACAGTCTTCGAAGGAGATCCTTTACACCAAGAAAGACGTTTCCGGCAACTTCTTGGACTTTTCGTGCCTTCAACTGTGTAGTGAGTTTAAAAATTCTAGTATTAAACAAGCTTAAATTTCTTTAGAAACGAATCACCAAGCTTACATGCTACGTACTATTTGGATATTGTAAAACGCCCAAATATGGATGGGGGTTTTGAGAATTGAAGTTTGCAAAGTTATGTACGTCTTTCAAAATATTTTCTTCTCTCTTTTTTTAATATGTGAAACATTAACAGTTTTCCAACATATATATAATTTGATAGTTGTGTAAAACCAATGTTTAGCAATGATTTTATAGTATAACTAACAAAACTTTACTTGAAAGTCAAACTCGACTTCACCTGCATTTGAACTTTTCCTTGGCGATCGATCGGTTTTCATCACCATATCTTTATTTTCTTGGCAGACTCTTTGCCATGACTGTTTTAGTTTTGCCTGTATTTGTTGGTTCGTAAGGAAGGGATACTTTTCAGATAGTTTACTTCTGTGTTCGTTGGCGAAATCCTTGAACAACACCTCTTTGGGAGAAGAAGACATGTTTTTTTTAACCTTTCTTCTTTCGCGATTTCAAATTTCTCAGCTATTAGAGAAAATACGAAGAATTCTGAACCAGATATCGTTTTAAGTAGGAAAATTAGCCACTACTTTCAACTCAAATGTGTAAAAAATACATGTGAAAGTTGATAAAAATATGGTTTCCAGAAACTTACAAACTCATCGATTTTTTATTGATTTGGCGCGAACTTTTCTCACCTTCTGATTGGCTCTCGACAAGCAACTTGTCAAAAAAAATTAACCAAAAAATCACAAAAATGTTTTCAAGATTTAATTATTTTTTAGGGGAAAAAAGGATGATCTATATTATCTCTTCTCTAACTTCTGTTTTGACTAAGAAATTAAAAATAATGAGAGTTTTCTTAAACTAAGAATTGTTTATTTTGGGTTGTCTTTAGCATATTTAATAATGGCAGCTGTCAATATTTTGTAGTCGTAGAAGAACGTGTTTTCTCATGAGGCGACCACAACCACGTGTTCATGATTTTTTGAGGTTTTTCAGTCACATGAACATTCAATCAGAAAATTAAGCGGAAGTCAATTCAACTCTGAAAATGATTCAGCCTTTCATTTTGCAACGTGTCCAAGCATGGACGGTATTTCCTGTTGGAATATGGGGGCGTATTTGTTTTCGTTTTTGAGAATACCAAAACAAAGAACTGAGTCAGCCATTTTGAACTTTCCCTCGTGGCAAAAAAGCCCCGTAGTCTTAGCAACGTCAAATATTTGACAGCTGCTGATCGAAATGGACCAATCAGAGGGTTTGTTTTCAGGGTGACGTCATTGAGCACGTGATACCAGCAAAACAAGTCTTGGAGTTCGGTTTCGATTTAGATATCAACACAAGATTGATTGTGTGTTTTGGTCACCAAAAAATACTAAAAGAACCCAAATTTTACCACGATGGACACACTTCGAGAAGAAGTAATGGTAAATCAGTTCGTAATGGTTGCAGGGTGCGCTAGAGAACAAGCTTGGCAGCTTTTACAAGCCAAACATTGGGATTTTCAGGTGTGTGTGTGTTGAGGTCCTGTTTCGCTTTCTTACGATTGATTTTGTTTGTGTTTAACCGGCGATCGACTCCTTTTCTTGCTAATTTAACTCATATTCCTTTATTTCAGACTGCCCTTAGTACGTTCTTTCAAGAGGCTGCTATTCCTACTCATTCTAATCATTCGGTAAGAAAATATTTCGATTGGAATTTGAATCGTTCGTTTGCAAACCGCTCCGAACTTTCGATGTCGGCCATATGTTGATGTAAACCAATATTGAATGACTGTCTTAATATTTCATTTCTAACACAGCTCGTCACTCCAGCTAATACACCAGCAACTCCACCAAACTTCCCTGAAGCTCTTATTGCCTTCTCCAAGCTTCGTGCGTCTGAAAAAGCACAACAATCTTCCAACCAAAATACCAACGAGCCAGTTAGATGATGGCACAGTTGCGCAACGGAGGTTATTCCTCAGACTTGACAAGCTTATTATTCCTCGGATAAAATTTAAAAGTTATGGAATATCTATATTATAAACTGCTCCAAAGCTGGCCATTTTTATAATTCTCAAGTCAAGCAATCAAAAGGGTTACAGGATCGCAAGAAAGCGGAGTTTGTTTTGTGTCGAGTTTGCCGAGCGTACCAAAAGCACCGGTGAAACGAAAACAAAACATCGCGATCAAGCAAGGAGGGAGAATATACGTTGTGAAGCGGAAAGAGAAGCAGTGGCAAAAGAGACAGAGTTTTAACACCCTTTCTTGTTTCAACTACACTTAAATCACGAATATATAAAGGGTAAACTAAAGCTAGTAGTGGCTAGTTCTTCTAGCAAAGTCGAGGTTTGTTGTGCAAAATATCGTCATACAACCAGGCATGTTATAAAAGAGGCATAATTAATTCATATTTTCTATACAATACTATTTTAGTAGATCTCTGTAACAAATTTAATATGATCGTAGGAATCTGTCTTGTTAGAATAACTGTAAACGCAAACAAAGCGAAATTTCGAATTCTCGAACGTTTTGATCGCGCGCAGCTAGCTAAAAACAAAAATATTAATGACGTAATAATATTGCAGAAAGTTCAGATCTGATTCAAAACATCTTGTTCAGTTAAGAAGTAAGCTTTTATATTTGAAATATGACGTTTCTTCATGTGAAGAGAAAAATGAAAAAATGCTTGAACTCTGTCTCGAAATGGTATTTATAAATATTGATCAATTTTCTATGTTCATGGACATTCAAAATGGATCTGAAAAACGTCGATTTGTTGCAGGAGAACCCAACTAGCTTAGTTACTACGGTTTGTAAATAAATACGTTTTGAAATATAAACGTGGTTTTGTATTTGTTATTGTTGATGTTTTAAGTCGGTTCAGTACGTGAGTGAAAAGCTTCTAGGTCATTCAATGCGATTTGGTGATGCGAAACCACGTGTTCCCATCGTGAGACCCCAAGGTCACTGCAGGCCATCTGCACTAACATGTATGAAATATTTCTTTCGCAATATATTGCTTTTGTTTTCCGTCTATCGAATCATATCTCTTATTACTTACTAAACAAGTTCCCATACCAATAAGAATATTTTATTTCAAGCGCGCAAATTATTCCAAAAGCAACCTCTAATTTCCTTGACTTCAGAAGTATTCATAATATTGGCTCTCCTTTTCTTAGCTTTGTAAACACGCAAAGGGTGTCTTAGCCGGTGTTTTTCTTTAAAAACAAACCATGTCGCCTTGATAATTGTTGTTGAACAAATCTGTACATTTATACGATTTTAAGACCAATTTAAAAGTCGCAAAAAACCTGCAAGTTTACTTGGCCAACGTTTTAATGTTTTTTTCAGCTGTTTCGCCGATATTTTTTAATTTATTTACATAGTTGGACTTTAAACCATCACGCCATTTCAGTGTGTGTACCTTTCTATTTTTATTCCGCGCGTCGTCGAGTTTTAAAGTCACTTGCTAATCAACCCTGCGAGATGTGATTAGTACTCAGTAAAATTAGAGACCAAACAATTGCAATCAGTCGAGGATGATCATCGTTTGTTGTTAAATCAAGAATGAGTCAGCATATTATTAAAACAGACACGGAACGATATTAACCTCTGATACGGTATTGCATCATTGGAAGAGTCAGCAATTCTCCTTATTTTTAGTTATTATTCACTGTTTGAGCCCGCGATTTCGAAGATTCTAGGCGCGAAATGCATCGTTTGTCAGAATAAAATGTTATTAGGGACCGGTCATTATTTAAGTTGGAGGGGGGAGGGAGGGGGGAGGAGAAAATAAGGGCCTTCCAAGGGGGCCTTCAAAGGTCAAAAAGATTGTTGGGACTAGGAGGATTTTTTAAACTATTGAGAGGGAGGGGGGGGGGGGGTACCCGAAAAACATCAATGCTATTAGGTAGGGGTCTGGAAAAATTTTTGCATCAAAAACATTTTCTTCTCCATCCCCCCCCCTCCGACTTAAAAAATAACCGGTCCCTTATGGGGCATCCAAGGGGCCAAAGGGACAAATAAAGCTTTGTTAGAATCGATTGATATTAACAGCTCACCACAAGAGATTACAACAAAAGATGAATTAATTAACGGCAAATGGATCACCTTTACCCGTCAAAGAAAGACAAACTTTTTTCCATCATCTTTGTTTTTGTTTGTTTGAAGTTGTCCAGTAGCCATTCCGAGGTTAAGTTAGGTAAAGACTGGGTCGAGTTAATATTGCAGTGCATTGTGGGGCTGTTTTAGGGGACATATTTCCAAGATGGCGTGTACTTCGTTCCCTAAAACAGTCCCAAAATACACTGCAATGTCAACTCGAGCCAGTCCGATCCCTTACTCAACCTCGGAAAGGCTATTAGCGCGAATTCTCAGAGCAAAATAGTTTACAGCAATGACTGATGACCTAATTTATTCTTTGAAGAATTTACTTATGAAATGACTTTTTTTTTACTATCAAGTTGCTTTTTATCATTGCAAACTAATATCCTAAATAACTAAATCAAACGGCTTCTTATTGGTATAAATTACTAGTTTATTGAGAAACTGAAACATCATTGGCTGTTACAAGATGTGCGCAGTGGTTTCTGGGTTGAGACAGAAGATCCTTGAAAGGAAAACGCGAAAAGATACGTTCTCTCTAGTTGCTTAGCAACACTTAACTTCACCAGTAATGCTACATGCACAAGATTCGTATTCAAACTATTTTTCATCTTTTTATATAGCCTATAAATTAGCCTATAAATGCGAAGGTGAAGGACTGATGAGTTTGAAATAGATGCCCTGACTGAAAATAAAAGTCTAAAATTTCTAATTCACCAAACTAATGCATATGACATTCAAGTTTCACAGGTTATTGGTGTAAAAACTGCTATTCAAACTGAAGTCAGTTACCAATGCAATTAAAATTTTAAGGCTCCAAAAAGTTTACATTTTGGTTAAGTGTTTTGTACAAAAACAGTTAGGAAATGGAGTTATCTCGAGTTAACAAGGATATTGTCCATAGTGTTTAATGAGGGAAATTTGAAAGAAAACGTGACGAAAAGACAAATATAAAATCCAAAAGAACAAGGAGAAGAATAAAGAAAGAAAAGCAACCTGGGAAAGCCAATACAAAGTGTGTCTTGTCATGGGACTTTCAAAGTCGAGTGCTCACACTTGAAAACAATGAAAAATGAACTCGTACATTGTCAATTAAAGAAAAAATAGAAAGTAAGTAAAGCAAATACTTATCTTATACCATTGAACGTTCGACTCATTTAATCGCCTTTCAAAGTGCGAATTGCTTTTATTTTTTCCGGACCTTTCAGTCAAGCTCTTATGCCAGTTATGTTTGACTAGAAAAAATGTACAGACTTGAACTTTAAACTCTGTTTGTCAGGTTAATAAATAAGTTAAGGATAGGAGACAATTATTTTGGAGAACTAACTTTATTTTTGATTTGAAATAGCCTATTTCTTTTGAGGCCATGCAACCGTCTTTATGCGTTCAAAACGAGCAGCTAGCACTTCAAAACAGACCCACACGAGGTTGGTGGACATCAGACTAAAAACAAAGCAGATCTAGTAGTAAAAGTTTGACTTTCAAATTTCCAAGCACTGGCTTAATCCATCAAGGCAATAAACCTACTCTATTGGTTCCTTCGTCTGAATGTATTGTCTTATCACCCACTTAAACCTTCCCTCATTTACATCTGCCATTATTGAACTCACCATAGCCTCTTTACTCTATTTACATATGTGTAAAAGCGGCGGCTGTAAAATTGAGTGACTCTAACCACGTTCCGCGAGTACACAAGCTCATTTTGTCCGCCAGACAAGTTTTCTAAAGACAAGCTGGGAAAGATATATTTTATCAAGTCTTTATCATCGACATAACAAGTTTTCCCGCGCTAAATCGAAAGGTGAGCGTTCGCTTTGGTACCAAGTTACATCACAAATTCTAAAATAGGTATTTTAAGAATGTTTTCTCGTAATACTATTTCCAGTTACTCACGTTTTAAGTTTAGTTTTCAATTACATTAACGTCTGAGTTGTATTTAGTGAGCAAGAAGATGAATTTTACCGTAAACTGCACTTACTATATTATTCCTCATTTGTTCATCCAAAAATCCTCAGTAGGAGTCTATCGACAGATGTTTTGATAATTGAAATTAGACGAAAGGAAATATCAATAAATTGGTGTAAGAAAATTTATGATTTAGACCAAATCCTTTCATCCAGCTGCATATTTCGTAAGCAAACAAAATAGATTTTCTTTTCTTTGTGAGTAGAACAGCAACAAAAAAAAAACAACAACAACAAACAAACAAAACAAAGCCATTACTTGAATGCTTACGGCTAATAAAAGAAATATATCTCGCAGTTTTTGACGTTAATTTGTTTTTAACTGGATGCTTTTGGAAAGTGATCTAAGTATATGTTTCGTTCGCGTTACTATGGATGCTCTACGGGTGTCGTCACACCATGGCCATGTCCATAAACTCCGTTTGCATGCATGTCTGCACCAGGGCCACCGACTATTTACATTTAAAAATATTTCATTATTGGTTTAACACTACTCAGTCATCCATCGAAATCTAATAATTTTACTGTCTACCTGTCAACACACTGCAGCCATTATTTTAGTTAAGGAAAAGAAACTCCAATATAATAACAAAATGGGTGAAAAATTTGGCTCTAAAATCAAAATCCTTTATATATCCATTTAGAAAAAAAGAAAAAAAAAAAAGGTTTGAGACTGATATGGCTTAGAAAACGAATAGAAAATTGCCTTTTCTGGTTTTAATTTAGTAATATTCCGATGGTAATGACTCTTTTCCGATGTCGTCTGCTAAAAATTCCATTTAGAATAATCCGCGACACAAACATTCAATCATCTCAAGGTTTTGTTTGTATTCGAGGTATTATTATTGATACAAAGTTTCATTTTATTTATTTTTGAAGACTGAGTTTTTCCGGCATATGAATACTGTTGGAAAGCCAAATAAATGCTGGAAAATACTACTCAAAGATCGTCTTTGAGCTATTTTCTAGTGCAGTTTTCTGGCTTCTCAACAGTATTTAATATGTATGGGAAAAACTCAGTCTTCAAAAACGATTATACTAAAAGAAGCGAATTCAAAGCGACAGGAAAATCCACATCAACTTGAATTCGATTTATTTTGCAAAAACTGACGAAACTTCAAAATTGACAAAAACAAACTTGATGAAATAAACTGAGATCAATGAGTCAGCCAATAAATATGCATGGCACGTTTCGAGGATAAATTTAACTAATTTGTAAAATAAAGAATGCATTAAGTAGTATAGGGAATGGGGGTTCCAGCGCAATCTCAACACGGGCAAGACCCGTGTCAAAAATCCACCTACGGACAA